CCAGGAGCAGCTGGAGCATCGCACAGACGCTAGTACGCATGCGTGCACCACGCGCGTGTGCGAGGACGCCACCGGCCTCGTTCCAACCGAACCGGTTAGAATGGGGCGAGAAACCCACCCCTGGATGGGACAACCTGAAACCTCTGTTGCATAAAGAAAAGGTAACACAAATCTATAATTGTAGAAAATGGTGAAACACCCCCCTCCCGCCCTCTGTCCCCTTTGCCTTCCTAAGCAAACGAAAGGCAGAGAGCAGCTGTGGGAGCAGCATCATGGTCCATCTAACTGATCCTAACCTTTTCTCCCATTTCGCTTGGTTGCCCTTTTCAGGATATCAGATAGGAAGGAGTGTGTGAGCGTGAGAATCCCTTGGAATCGCGCAGAGGTATTTGAGGCTGACCTTGGAGGGTTTCCCTTGAAGCAGTGCTCTGTCCCTGACTTACAGCTTGTCCTCTGCGCTTGTATCCCCCGTGGCTGGTTCATGACCGAAAACCGGCATTTCCACCACAGTCTGGGTCGAGAGGTGGAAGGGGAAATGCCCATCAACATTATCAGATGGCCCAGGGAATTATACTTGGCCAATATATAGAGTGGTGTTGCTTTGGCCCCTGACGATCAAGGCAAAGCTTCCTTCTCTTTGCTAAAGCATCATCGCTTTTTCTAATAAGAGTCTGGATTGAGTTTATAATCTCTGCGGGGTTATACACCTTCTACCCAGCGTGCTGAGCAACGGAGCCCCGGATCTCTGTTTAATTGCACTTTTATTTTTGGAGGCAAGAGAGAATAAAAGGTGTGTACTAATGTCCCAAAGGGACTTGGTGGCTTAGTGGCTAAGACACTGAGCTTGTTGATCAGAAAGGTTGGCGGTTCGAATCCCTAGCGCCGTGTAACGGAGTGAGCTCCCGTTATTTGCCTCAGCTTCTGCCAACCTAGCAGTTCAAAAGCACGTAAAAAATGCATGTAGAAAAATAAGAACCACCTTTGGTGGGAAGGTAACAGCGTTCTATGTGCCTTCGTCATTTAGTCATGATGGCCACATGACCACGGAGATGTCTTCAGGCAGCGCTGACTCTTNGCCTTGGAAAATAGTTTGACTCCCTCTTCTTTGTGGCAACCCCTAAGATATTGGAACACTGCTATCATGTCTCCCCTAGTCCTTCTTTCTATTAATTATCTTGTAATTATCCTTCATTTTTTTTTAAAAAAAGAAGTCTTCCCTATCCTTAGAGCTCCTTAGGTTTTTCTCGGGAATTGTTTTGTTCTGTTTGCCCTGAATTTGATTTCTCATTTTTGCACCTGACTGTTTTGTGTAAATGTAGGCTACCGAAAGCTCCTGAATGGAGCTGTTAATTGGGTCAGCGAGAAACAACAAAACCATATTAAGATTCTGTGATCAAATAACTGGAGCAAACTTTGCAGTCACCATTGTACTGTGTTTACGACAGCAGCTTTTCCAAGCGGAGCTCAGTAGGCCTACATGAAGGAGCTCAGTGGAGGGAATTATATTTTTCAGCTTTCCCTCCCTCACGTTTCTGGTTTATTTAATGTTCTGGAGATTAAAAACCCACAAGAAGAGTAGCTGTGAGATAGTTCAGAGAAAAAAAACAATAGGTAGGACTGTCAAGCTGTAAGGCAATGCTGTTTCCAGGTCTCAACATGAGGATTAGTTTTAGGACTCGGCTGTTGTTAAACCCTAGTTTGGTGTTACGTTCAAAGCTGGTCAAAAGAAATCTCTATTAGCTTGATTTATTATGAACTAAGCATTGGAATAGGATTGCTGCCAGATTCCCTTGGTTGTTGACCATTGTAGATGCCCTGAAATGTAACACTAATATATTTAGATTTTGGTAATTTAAGATAGGGAAAAGAATGAATTAAATGGTTTTAAATAGCTTTTTTGTGCACTATATTTCTTATTTATGATTATTATAATAATAAAAGTTCCACTATAACTTGTTACCATTGTCAATTTTCAGTTTGTTATATTTATGTTTTAAATAGAACTGTGATGGCTAACCTTTGTGCCAAAAGTGCGTGTGCACCCATATTGCAATGCACATGTGAAACCCCCACCCATGCCCTGCCCCTGCACATGCCGCCCATGCATGCACGTGTGACCCCCTGGCACATGTGCACATCTCCCCCCACATGCATGGCAGGGACCCAAAAACCAACTGGCCGGCAGGGGAGCATGTGCATGTGCGGTGGGTTTGAGCCCACAGAGAGTGCTCTGCGTGCCAGTTATGGCACACGTGTCATAGATTCACCATCACGATCCTAGATACTTGCATTGTCACGCTCCCTTGAACCCATAAAAAACATTGCATTTCCCCCCCTTTCTGGCAATTGAGGATAACATTTTATGCATTGAATGAATTGATCCTTATCCGTGTAAAGTTTTATGCAGTAAATATTTTACCAGATTTAGAAACAGGTATGATAAATACAGGTGGTCCTCAACTTATGACGGTTCATTTAGTGATTGTTCAAATTTACAACAGCACTGAAAAAGTGACTTAAGACTGTTTTTCACATTTACAACTGTTACAGTTCACATGATCACATGATCAAAATTCAGACCCCCTGGCAACTGATTCGTATTTGTGATGGTTGCAGTATTCTGAAGTCATGTCATCACCTTTTGTGACCTTCTGACAAGCAAAGTCAATGAGGAAGCTGGATTTACTTAACAACCTTGTTACTAACTTAACAATTGCAGTGATTCGCTTAACTACTGTGGCAGGAAAGGTCGCAAAATGGGGCAAAACTTAGTTAACAAATATCTTGCTTAACAACAGAAATTGTTGGTTCAATTGTGGGCGTATGTCGAGGATTACCTGTATACTAGTTCCAGGCTGAATATCATTCTGACAAACTTTGATTTGAAGATCTTTCAAAATCCCTTCCAACCTCAACCACCCAAAATCAGTGATTTATTTGCTACCATTTTAAGGCAGGGCTCTAAAGTAGATGTAATGCAATTTAACAAATTGCATATATCAAAAGGATAACATATTCTCCCAATCCATAGAAAATCCTGCATGCACTCACATGTGTGATGTGTTTCTTCTTCATAAGAATTCTACTGCCCATGCCAGCCCTTGATTTCCTCTACCCATGTAGGGAAAGGAATGGCAGAATTTGGGGGCCGAGGAAAAAGAGAGATCAGTCTAGAATCCCTATTACTGCCCCCCCTCCCACCGTGCTTTTGACCTTTGTGTAATTCTAACTAGGTGTTTGACCTTTAGTTAAGATTCCTGTGCATAGGCTTTTAGCAATAAATCACCTTAATTGAATCTTCATGTATGGACTTGGTCTTTCAGAGAAAGATCTAATTTGAGCGATATCAGAAAGGTGAGACTTATCCAGACTACTCATTTGATGAATTTGGTGGATTTTGTTTGTGTGGGACTGTGATCTGATGCTATACTAGAAGCATTTCTTGTATGAAGGGAAAACCCAATTCCTTCCTGTTAGCACCTTTATTTATAAAAGTTTCTCCAGTATTGTATATGTGTATGTGTTTAATCCATGCGGTGGATTTAAATTTTTATAACCTAAGCGCTTGGGTAAAAAGATTTTGAATTTAAATTTCTGGAGATGTTTTGATTCCAGGTTAGATTAAGATCACAGTGCTTACACCAAAATAAAGTAATATGTCTGTTTTTTGTCATCTGTAATTTGCTCTTACTTATGAATTAATTGACCTATTTTTAAAAACCTTATTTGTAAAATCTTAATAAAAAGTCTGCGCCATCTCCCCATTTTCCTTGACATCACCATGTAAGATATATTATTTTTGAATAAACCTGTAAAACATTTAATACTGTATTAATTTCTCCCCCATTTCTAGGCAAGAGCAGGTCTGCATTCTATACCAGAACATAAACATAGTGGAACCACGATTAATTCAACCATATGAAAATGTTATTAAGAACTTTATTAGAGAGATCAAGCTGCAGAGTACAGAAATGGAGACCATGGCCATTGCTGTAAAAAGGTAGATAACTGGGTTTGTACTTTATAATGAAACTATATAAGAGTAAATTATTGAGATCTGAAGTGGGCAAGTATCCTCTAGAACTCTGGACATAACTACATCTGCATCAAGTAAATAAAGAGTGTCCACACCATATCCAGAGCACTATTGGATTCAAATACTTCCACCAATTCCAGACAACAGAGCTGGTGGGAAAGGATTGGAGGAATTGCAGTCCAAGGTATTTGAATTTGTTTATCGATGCTTTAAATACCCAATAAATCATATGGGTGAAGAACAAATGCATTATAAAGGTCATGCTATCATGACTTGCAAATGATTAAATATGCTTGAAGCTTTTGTTTGTTTTATAGTTTGTGAACGCCCGTTGTATGTTTTCTAAAACAACATTTTCAGAACAGGTATCTCTAACTTAACTTTTGAGATTTCTGATCACAGAAAATTTGAGACTGAAGGGAAGAGAAGGAAGAATTAAGGGAAAATGTATTGCTACATAGAAATTGTGAATTTGGTTTATTAATGGTTAAAATACTATTTTTTTCAACAAGGCACAAACTAGACAGTAGCTTCCCAAATACTCAAGTATTTCAGTTTTGGAATGGCAGCCCTATCAGTTGAGTTTCAGTTGATAGAAGAGATGGCACAACTATGATAATACCTAGTCTTATTTCAAATCCTATGCAATCATTTTACACTTCTATACTTATGTAAAGAAGCCTTTGTCTTCTCATGCCCCTAAGTGTTTTCCATTGAAGAGAGTTGCATGTGTACACTCCCTGCATTCGTTGAGACAATTTCTCCTGCCAGGATGAGATTCTGATGCCAATAATGCCTGGTCATCATATTACTAATGGACATATTCTGTAATAGGGTTTCAACTTAGTGGATAAGATGTGAATGCTGCTATTATATGCATTCTGTCAGGGTTTTTTTTCTGCTGCCAACATTCAACATTCTGAGACTATCTGGACTATGTTCCTATCACCCATCTCCTCTCACTTATGACTGCATGACTGTAACTTTGTTAATTGTATCTTTACTATTTATATTGATATTGATTATTTCCTGATTGCTTATTTGTACCCTATGACTATCATTAAGTGTTG